CTCTGATACAAACGCATAAAGCTTCAAACTTTCTGGCTGAGGTTTGGGTTTCCTGTTTTAGAAAGGAAGCTAATCTCTACCAAAATGAGCTCCAAAAAAGTTGCGGAGGCTGTTTTAGCAGCGTATTGTTCAACAATCACATGTGGGTGTTACGCTCAGGTTTCAACATTCTTTGGACCATTTATACATAAGACTCAAAACAGATCAAATTAAAGCATAAATAACATTGTTGGTTACTGACAGTGGACATATAGATATTTGTTTTGTTTCTCTGGTGGCATTCCCGTTCCTCTGACAGGGATATATTCATTTTTCTACTGTCAGTCAATCGTAATAACTCAGGTGTGTTTCATTATTCATAACAATGAATAAAGTAGCATTAATAATGTTCAAAATGTATCAATTATCCTCATGTTTCTGAGGATTTCTCCTGATGCTCTGCACCACGAGAGCGGCTCGTGGAAGACTTCACATTTCCTGACTTACACAAACATCTGTCTCCTCTGTAAGCTCTGTCTCCTGGTTTGACTGGACGTCCTCCTGCTCTTCGTCAGCAGGTGACATTGTGCTATTGATGTTTTCCTGTATCAAAATACACTCCGTTTCAACATTTTCAGTGCATTTCTCTGACTCTTCCTCACTTTCTCCTGTGGGGTCAGAGTTCTCTAAAGTTTGCTGTATGTGGCAGAGGTCTGACGGATGTTGGGTTGGAGAGGAGACACTCACACACTCCTCTTCTCTTGACTGCTGAATGGTTAAATCCGTTGTGACCTGTGATTGGCCGATGTCAAGACACTCCTCACTGTCTGGTGTTTGTGTCTGAGGGCTGGCTGGCTCTTCCTCGGCTGGTTGGCACGTTTCCTCGCTGGAAGCCGATGGTGTCTCCACGAGAGGCTCCCCTCCATTACCTGACACAGCGGGGGGTTCACTCTCTTGGATGGAGATTTCTGTGGAGCTCTGCTGATCCACGGCTATTTCTTCTGACACTTCATCACCTATATGAATAGAAGATTTAAGAAATGTAATCTCTGCAACACAGAACCATAGATGGCGTACACTGAGAGAAGTTTAGGGCACATTGATCCCTCACCTTCCTTTCCAGGAGACTCTGTTGTCTCCGCCTGCTGAGTGTTCAGGATGATGGTTTCTTTTCCTCCTATTATGACAAAATATAATTCAAAGTAAGCCTTAATAAAAGCACGAGACATCCAGAAAGCTGTATGCAGTGGTGGACAATGACTAAGTCCATTTAATTTACTTATGTCCAATTTTAAATTATTTGTACTACATGAGAAAATCTACTCCACTAGTCAACAAATGTACTTAGATTTATTTCATAAGTTAAGTTACTGCTAATAATGCAATATATTAACAAAAAAACACCATATAATGTATTGAATTGAATAACAATTACTTGGTGATATTTATAAGTTATTAAGCAGTAATATTTAATAAAAAATAATCGACACCTTTCAAATCTGCCACATTTAAGGGTGGTACATTTTAATGCATCAACAATTATTTTGGTACGTTAAGTATATTTTGATGCTAATACTTTTGAATTCAGAATTGCTACTTGTAATAAACTATTATTCTACATTTTCATTTGCTATTTCTATGAAAACATCGAGTATGAGTTCCAACAATGCTTGTCACTGTTGTATTGAATAGAAAAGAGTAAATTTAATTTGGGAAAGTATGAGAAGTTATTGAAGAAGATGAAGTTTGCATGTTAAAAAGTATTAAGAGAAAGTGAGAGAAACGTACTTCCATATATTCCCAGAGACACATTATAAGTCAGGCCTTCAGGAAGCAAGAAGCAAAAGGACAGAAGGAAGAATAAGGCATGTCAATTATTATTGTGTCACCTTCATAATCTAAATTATTGCATTAAAACAAATAAAAACAACAACAGGAAGCAGCCCTCTCACCTGCTCTCCGGCTCTTTCTAACTGTCGGACCAGATCCTCTCGCTCATGAGCAGGAAAGTGTCGAGTGCCGACCTCCTCGTCTCCAAGCCTCTGTTTGGTGATGGTCATTCGTAAAAGCTGTTGGGAGAGAGATACATAGTTTTGTATTTTGCACAGTTTTCCAGTTTTCTGCTTTATTTAATCTGATAAACCTCTTTTTCTGCATGAACTTTTATGCCGACTCAAATCAGATACATGTATTCTTAACTATAAATATTTGTAATATATGCAAGACCGAAAAAGAGAACTATTCATATTTAATTTGATTGCAATGTCCAGTATGTTGAACAGTGTTTACCTTGTTGTCACCTTGAGCTTCCACCAGGCGTTGTTTCAGCTCCTTCACCTCCTCAGAAAGTTCACTGCTCTTTTCTCTGGAGTCCCTCAGTAGCTGGGCTAAATTCACCTGAAGAGGACATGAAGATACGATCACTACCACTACACAGACTTATAATTGGTCTGTTACATTAATATATCCATGATAAACAATTAAAGCTATGCAGAACAATCATTTTATGTTACAGTTTTTCTCGATTGCTAACACACTTTTTTTTTTTTAATTGCTCAGTTTCTCAGAACACTAAACACAATTCACAAAACCACACACCCAAAGTGCAAAACACCTCATTTCTCCTGTTAAGTGAAGAACTGCACTCAAAACTATATAAACACTTACCAAATGCAAACTTTTGCACCAAATATAACACACTTCATTCATAATACTAGATTGTTTGACCACCCAACTACACACTGCTGAGCATAATCTAAAGCACTTTCATCTTTTATGAGCTATGCTCTGTACATAGAGGTTTCTGCAGAGAAAGATTGCTTGAGTATACAGAAATACAGTAAATGAAGAAATACAAATGAGTTGTTGAAAAAAATCATATTTTATTCAAAAATAACATTGTGCAACATGCATCTCAGCCCATAGTTACTATGCTTCAGGGAGGCTGTGGCTCGGTGAATAGTGTGCTGGACTTCGAATCAGGGGATAGCAAGTTCGAGTCCCACTGCAGTCAGCATGTTGTTGTGTCCCTGGGCAAGACACTTCACCCCAAATTGCTCCTGTGGGGAATGTCCACAGTATTGAGTATGTAAGTCGCTTTGGATAAAAGCGTCTAACAAATGACATGTAATGCTTCGGATCTCTCTAAGTTTGATGGCATTGTTTGCCAAAACCCAGTTTGTAACTGCTGCTTCCTGTGCCTCATTGAAAATCCTTAGCTTTCCACCTGCACCTCTTTGTTTCTCAGTCCTTCAGATAAACAACAAAGATATAGTGGTTGGTCAGTGTCTGTGTTGCATAAAAGTCAGTTTACCACAGTACATTGTGCAGGATTTTTGTACAGTTATATGCAACATGCCAACAATTCAATTACAGTAATGAAGTAAATACGTTTCACACAACAGATGATATATCATGATTTATGCAGAGCTAAAAACTGCTAACCTGTTTTCAAGTCTAAGTGTCCGGATTACAGAGGCAACAGTGAATCGGCTTAGATTAGGCTGAACCCTCTGTCCAGCCTCTCTCATCGTCAACATGGTTGATAACATTTCATTTCATTAGAGAGTATTCTTCTTTGTCCACCGCATGCGGGCCGCCGGCTCTATCCACTGGGCTATCTATTCTTTAAACTGTTTAATTTTTTTGTAATAATCATAATTGTCTTTTTGTTCACAACTTCTCCACATTTTGAAGTGCAAATCAACATGGCACTTTTTGCAAACCACTGCACACGTTTCTCCACGTAAGACACAGGAATCTGACATAAAGTCACGTGTTAGCTGATTTAAAACACTGATATTCAAAATGCCTCACACATGGACCAATAATCAAGAAACACATTCCACCTGACCAAACACCTGATAGCATAATTGTTGGCACATCAATCAGGATGTTAGCACTATAAAAAGACCACAGGTGAGTACTTTCTTACAGCAACAATGGAAGCCAACATGGAAGCAAGAGCAAGAGCAAGAGGAAGAGGAAGAGGAAGAGCTGAGCTGAGAGTGAGAGGAGGAGGAAGAGGTGGGGTGAGAGTGAGAGGAAGAAGAATGAGAGGTAGAGGTAGACCTGGAGGGGCGACGTCCTCCACTGCAACTGGTTCAAATCCTGGTATGGATGAACTTTTAATCATTGTCCGCTTTTCAACTTTAATACTATAACTGATAAAAGGCCCTCCCTTTCCAAAAAAATGCCTTTAGAAAAATACAAAATAAAAAGAATAATTACCTCAATAAAGTTTTGAGTGTTCCCCATCCCACAGGATCCCCCCGTGCCATAATTACACAAGCACACCCAACCACTCTCTTCTCAATAACCCAATACACACAATTATCAATCTTTAATTGCAAATAGAACATGATATTCAGTCTCAGAGTGTGTGTGTGTGTGTGTGTGTGTGTGTGTGTGTGTGTGTGTGTGTGTGTGTGTGTGTGTGTGTGTGTGTGTGTGTGTGTGTGTGTGTGTGTGTGTGTGTGTCGAATATTTTTCAAGGCAAAGATACGTTAAACCCACTGCAGTCTTGCACTTTGCCAGGAGAGGTCGCTGTAACTGAAGCTTCGAGAAATGAACCTATTTCCGACACAATTGTCCAAGTGGTTCCACTGGTTCGATGCTTAATTCAAAGCTTCATTTGCCCATCACTAGTTTAGAGTTTTGGAGATTTGAGCAGATGTTTTGCTCTTTGAGTGTCAGTTAAAATAATTGTGCTTTATGTATAATTGTAGTGTGTTAGCAATCGAGAAAAACTGTAATAGCCATTTCAGCCATTTGGAGTATATGTCAAAATCACTTACTTGATTCCTTGGGAATGGTCATTTAATGCAAATTGTAGAACATTTATTTTTGGACAAATATCTTTTCTGTTTTGCCATTTATTCCTTCCATTTTAAAGTGTGGCTGCAGCACGGTAATTGGCTGCTGGAGAATGAGGTGAAATGTAATAGGTTAAAGAGACGCCCGTGATGAGTTGATTATATACAGCTGCGGAGTGAATGTATAGTATATAGGCCTACCCAGTCTTCCTGAAAGAACTTCATATCCACGATAAACACGAAGGACGAGATTTTGTTCGAAGAAGGCAAATTAGATTCAGCAGCACGTCTGGAAGAAGTTGCATATGTCTGACTCGTGAAAAGACCGGTGCTCCACTCTCAGCAAACAGTAAACAACGCCTACTGACAGTTTATACAAGATTTTTTGGGCTCGACAGGCTTCAACAGGGTGGAGTGTATCATCAGTAAAGACCTTTCAACAAGTTGTCGTCTTTGATGGGATTTGTTGTTTAACATGCGTCTACACGGGTAAGTCGATTTTAGGCTGCCTGAAGTCTGCGTTTTGCTTTTAATTAACTCCATCTGCAGAGTAAAAGATTGCGACATTGTATTTATTTATCGTGTACGCTTCATTTAGCTTTGTCTGATTTCAGATTTGATATCCTAAAGATATGACGATAATGTGACTGTCTTACTGAAACCGCCCAATTGTATTACAAGTAGCTCAAAAGAACTCAAACATTTCTGCAATATTAAAATCCTTCTAACATGTTGATTAACCCCATAATGTGAGTTTTTTTTACCTTGTTTTTTTTCCCGAACGCCTTTGAATAATGCATGACTTTTACCAGGAACAGAGTAGTTATACAAATGCTACTACTTTAACTTAAAGTAAGGAATCTAAATACAGCAATCAATGTTTATTGTCATGCAACACATGATGAGTTTATCCATTTGAGGCACTCTCCTAACGATTTTAACATTTTTCAGGTCAATGAATATACTAGGAGCAGCAGTGTTGGTTCTGCTGGCCGGCTGTCGGCAATGTGTCTCCACTGACACTCCACCGGAGGTCAGGCAGAACAATAGTACTCTGTACGCAGCCTGCAAAATGAGACCCAGCCCCTCACTCCCTGAAGGCCTGCCAAAAGTGTACGGTCAGGTGCTGTTTAAGCAGGAATATCCTGAGGGGAAACTCAAGGTGCTCCTTCAGTTCTGTGGCTTCCCCACAGAGAGCGCCCCAGTGCCCAGAGCGGTGCACATCCATCAGTTTGGAGACCTGAGCCAGGGGTGTGACTCCACTGGAGGCCACTACAACCCACACAGCGTACATCACCCAGACCACCCTGGGGACTTCGGTAACTTTGTGGCTCAGAAAGGAAAAATCAATACGATGATAGAGTCTGAGGCCACGCTGTTCACAGGGCTGTCTGTGATTGGAAGAGCCGTGGTGATCCATGAGAGGGAGGACGACTTGGGGAGTGGGGGAGACGCTGGGAGCCTGCTGAGTGGAAACGCAGGCCGGAGGCTTGGCTGCTGCATCATTGGGATTTCTCCCCCCAGCCTCTGGAATATGAAGTATGAGGTGTATAATAAACGTAAGCTTGTGGATGCTGGCATGTAGGGCAATTAAAGAGATTTCCCCTTGATTAAATCATTGATTGGATCCATTGTATCCCTTGTGTGGCTTATCAAAAATGGTGGGAAAGTGTCTTGAGAATTCAACTGCTCCAAAAATAAAATAAATGCTCAGTTCCTTTAATCCTTTGTGATTTTCTGACTTTTCCTTAAACACCATCGGTTTAAATGTTTGTTTATGACCAAAGTAGCGACACTACCCGAACTAAGAAGGTTAACATGGTATTCATTTGCATGTGAATGTCATTTCAAATATATTATCACGCTTACAAAAACATCGATTACATCCATGCAGTGCAGGTTTCTATATGATTCTATACTTAAAACATGTTTTTATTCAGTTGAATCATTTATTTTGCAGAAATAAATCCATGTTGTGCACATTCAATACATATACACATGTGGTATTTCTATCTGATGAGTTAATACTTTTTGCTACAAAACATGACCAAAATGTCAGTGCTGGTAATACTACAGTACATGTGGGTTTGTTTAACAGACTAGTTAGTTCACTAAATGTTATCTTGACTAAATTTATGTTCAAAGTCAACTGTCCTTAATAGTGTCATGCAGCATGTTATATAGCTGTGATACATTTGTGTTTTTGTGATTACAAAAAAATAACTTTTGTGAAAGTGTTTAGCAAAAAAGCAAAATATCCCACATTTTATCATTTAGGAGAATAATAAATGAAGTGGTTTGGAAATGTTTGCATTGTTTTTAAAGAAAATAAAGTTTCTGCTTAAGCTAAACATCTGCCTAATTTATTTGTTGTAGAGATCGTTAACATGGTTTCCTAAATGTGGAGGCAGAGGCATGGACGGAGGTAGAAAGATAAAGGAGAAATCCTAAGCAACAACACTTTAAGTTCATGTCAAATGCAATTGCACGTGTCCCTTTATTTTTTTGTTAGTTCTATAGAAAACCTAAACCAGTGTCTTATTCCAGAGATAACATTAGACATGTTATTAAAATGACATTCTCCTTCAATGTTGGGTTCATATTCAGTCTTAAGTAAATCTCAAAGACTGACATTTTGTGTCAATGCAGAGAAATCTAAATCATCCCACCTGGTCAAACTATGAAACACAAATTCTACAGCCCTTTTTTGCTACTTTTTAAATGAACTTGAATCATAGTTCCTCCCGCTCTGATACAAACGCATAAAGCTTCAAACTTTCTGGCTGAGGTTTGGGTTTCCTGTTTTAGAAAGGAAGCTAATCTCTACCAAAATGAGCTCCAAAAAGGTTTTGGAGGCTGTTTTAGCAGCGTATTGTTCAACAATCACATGTGGGTGTTACGCTCAGGTTTCAACATTCTTTGGAACCATTTATACATAAGACTCAAAACAGATCAAATTAAAGCATAAATAACATTGTTGGTTACTGACAGTGGACATATAGATATTTGTTTTGTTTCTCAGGAGGCATTCCCGTTCCTCTGACAGGGATATATTCATTTTACTGACAGTCAATCGTAACAACTCAGGTGTGTTTCATTATTCATAACAATGAATAAAGTAGCATTAATAATGTTCAAATGTATCAATTATCCTCATGTTTCTGAGGATTTCTCCTGATGCTCTGCACCACGAGAGCGGCTCGTGGAAGACTTCACATTTCCTGACTTACACAAACATCTGTCTCCTCTGTAAGCTCTGTCTCCTGGTTTGACTGGACGTCCTCCTGCTCTTCGTCAGCAGGTGACATTGTGCTATTGATGTTTTCCTGTATCAAAATACACTCCGTTTCAACATTTTCAGTGCATTTCTCTGACTCTTCCTCACTTTCTCCTGTGGGGTCAGAGTTCTCTAAAGTTTGCTGTATGTGGCAGAGGTCTGACGGATGTTGGGTTGGAGAGGAGACACTCACACACTCCTCTTCTCTTGACTGCTGAATGGTTAAATCCATTGTGACCTGTGATTGGCCGATGTCAGGACACTCCTCACTGTCTGGTGTTTGTGTCTGAGGGCTGGCTGGCTCTTCCTCGGCTGGTTGGCATGTTTCCTCGCTGGAAGCCGATGGTGTCTCCACGAGAGGCTCCTCTCCATTACCTGACACAGCGGGGGGTTCACTCTCTTGGATGGAGAATTCTGTGGAGCTCTGCTGATCCACGGCTATTTCTTCTGACACTTCATCACCTATATGAATACAAGATTTAAGAAATGTAATCTCTGCAACACAGAACCATAGATGGCGTACACTGAGAGAAGTTTAGGGCACATTTATCCCTCACCTTCCTTTCCAGGAGACTCTGTTGTCTTCGCCTGCTGAGTGTTCAGGATGATGGTTTCTTTTCCTCCTATTATGACAAAATAGAATTCAAAGTAAGCCTTAATAAAAGCACGAGACATCCAGAAAGCTGTATGCAGTGGTGGACAATGACTAAGTCCATTTAATTTACTTATGTCCAATTTTAAATTATTTGTACTACATGAGAAAATCTACTCCACTAGTCAACAAATGTACTTAGATTTATTTCATAAGTTAAGTTACTGCTAATAATGCAATATATTAACAAAAAAACACCATATAATGTATTGAATTGAATAACAATTACTTATTATTAATTAATTAATTAATTATTAATTATTAAGTTATTCAGCAGTTATGATAAGCAGTATTATTTAATAAAAAATAATCGACACCTTTCAAATCTGCCACATTTAAGTGTGGTACATTTAAATGCATCAACAATTATTTTGGTACGTTAAGTATGATGCTAATACTTTTGAATTCAGAATTGCTACTTGTAATAAAATATTATTCTACATTTTCATTTGCTATTTCTATTAAAACATCGAGTATGAGTTCCAACAATGCTTGTCACTATTGTATTGAATAGAAAAGAGTACATTTAATTTGGGAAAGTATGAGAAGTTATTGAAGAAGATGAAGTTTGCATGTTAAAAAGTATTAAGAGAAAGTGAGAGAAACGTACTTCCATATATTCCCAGAGACACATTATAAGTCAGGCCTTCAGGAAGCAAGAAGCAAAAGGACAGAAGGAAGGATAAGGCATGTCAATTATTGTAAAAGGCAAGTAGAATACACATTTCAATGAAGCACATTAGTTTCAGTATATTAAGATAATGGTGTTCACCTGGCAGGCTCCATAATCCAGACATTTCTAATGATTTTAGTTTCTTCTCCAGCTCTGCTACTCGGTTTCCCAGAATCCTAACAACAAAAAGGAACAAAAACAAAGATATTTGCATGTTTTCTTCCGGCCTTATCGATAGAGATTACAGTGTATATAGAGGGTGTTAGGTACGAGATTGAGTACTTGTTGATTTGGCGTTGGTGCTGAATCACCATGTTCTTCTCGTGGATGGTTTCCAGCAGAGCTGTGGCGAGGGACTTGAGGTCTGAGATGGACTGAGGAGTCACCGGCAAACTGCAGCCGTTTTCTTCAGACAGTAACAATTCCTTCACTGCACACACATCATTATTCTCAGTTAAACTACAGTCACCACGTTAGGCTTTCTACAAATTAAGGGTTTCTAAAACTGCATTTTCCTTCAAAGCTTGTGTAAATGTCTACATGTGCATTTTGTTTTAAAAATATCTGATCCTTCTGACCTTGTTTAGCAGAGAGCACCCCAGTCAGTGCACTACTGTTAGGTTTCCCACAGATTTTAGAGGTTTTCTTGCAGTCCAGCGCACTCTGAAATCAGAGGAAATTATTAGACATGAGAGGTTTGTGATCTGAGAGAAAGGTAATTCACATTTAACATTTGCAAAAAGTTAAATGGTTTCATTTAATTAATAAGTAGTTAAAAATACTGTAAGAGTAAGATATTTAACAAATAAAAAAATCACAATAAAATATGTAGCTACCTTGTACTTCACCAGGTTTGATTTGAGCAAGTGGATTTCTTCTTGAAGTTGACAGAAACGCTCATGCAAATACCTGGGATATAATTATAATAATTATTATAATACTAGAAGCCAATCAATAAATGTACATTCACATTTTGCCATCATCATTAATTTACCAGCTGATTAAACATAAATATATAATCCAATGTTATAGATTGACCCTTAAACTGTGAAATAACTGTTGCAGAGACACAAACAGTGACATTTTTATTTTAAAGAAACAAACCTGTTCTCCATGCAGAGTGCATCGACGTCTAAAATGCGTATCTCATCGTTGCCCAGGATGTGGTTGATCTCCGCATTGAGCCGATGAGCCTTCTGCTGAAACACGTCCCGCTCCGCTCGAACGTCCTGAAGCTCGTCTGTGAGCGACTTCACGCTGTGCTCCAGGACCTCGTTCTGCAGACACACAAAACATACCAATACATTTGTGATAAACATTGTAAGTTCACCTCTCTAAGAAAGCCTCCTATAGTTGGATAGTGTTAGTAAGAAAAACTAACTATGTCAGGTTGGACTACATTTAAATCTAATAACAAAGTTGTTGACATTAGGAGGTCTTTTTGCTTTGAATAAGTTTAACCAGGTCATAAATACAATATCTCTTTGTACTTACATACTGTTACAAAAGTAATGTTCATATTTTAAATGCAGGATTTTAAGAAAATGTTTACAAGTACTACTTCTGTTAAATGTCATGATGCGTTCACCAAAAAGCCATTAACTGAAAGTCACCTTCATAATCTAAATTATTGCATTAAAACAAATAGAAACAACAACAGGAAGCAGCCCTCTCACCTGCTCTCCGGCTCTTTCTAACTGTCGGACCAGATCCTCTCGCTCATGAGCAGGAAAGTGTCGAGTGCCGACCTCCTCGTCTCCAAGCCTCTGTTTGGTGATGGTCATTCGTAAAAGCTGTTGGGAGAGAGATACATAGTTTTGTATTTTGCACAGTTTTCCAGTTTTCTGCTTTATTTAATCTGATCTGAACTTTTATGCCGACTCAAATCAGATACATGTATTCTCAACTATAAATATTTGTAATATATGCAAGACCGAAAAAGAGAACTATTCATATTTAATTGTATTGCAATGTCCAGTATGTTGAACAGTGTTTACCTTGTTGTCACCTTGAGCTTCCACCAGGCGTTGTTTCAGCTCCTTCACCTCCTCAGAAAGTTCACTGCTCTTTTCTCTGGAGTCCCTCAGTAGCTGGGCTAAATTCACCTGAAGAGGACATGAAGATACGATCACTACCACTACACAGACTTATAATTGGTCTGTTACATTAATATATCCACGATAAACAATTAAAGCTATACAGAACAATAATTGTATGTTAATAGCCATTTCAGCCATTTGGAGTATATGTCAAAATCACTTACTTGATTCCGTTTCTCAGGAGGCAGAGTGGGATCTCCATCCTGTTAGTAATAAAAACAAGGGAATGGTCATTTAATGCAAATTGTAGAACATTTATTTTGGACAAATATCTTTTCTGTTCTGCCATTTATTCTGCCTATTTTTTTACGATGATGATGTATCGTTACGTCTGTACTATTGTTGCTTACAATGAGCTCTCTGTACTTCTTCTTGAGTCCTTGGTGTCTCTCCCGCAGCTGGTTGGCCATCAGCTGGTACTGATCCCTCTCCTGCTGGCAGGTGTCCAGCTCCTTCGACAGAATCAGGAGAGCTTCCTTCTTACTCTCCAACTTCCGCTTACAAACGAGGAACTGCGTGTAAGAAAAAATGTTTTAAGAGAAAGTTAAATAAATGTGTTACATGCATACTGAATCATACTGGCTAGGTAGGCAGTGTCATCTTTCAAAAGCCAGCAACTTAGTATTATTGTTTATAAGAAAAGATAATGAAGCAGTGCAGCCAATATTCAAGATATTGCATATTAAAATAACCACATGAGAACTTGATTTTTGTCATGACATCTGTTTAGGTCAGAAATTGAGGCTGTGGCTCAGTGGGAAGGTGTGCTGAACTTAGTGCGCTGAACTTTGAATCAGGGGATAGCAAGTTCGAGTCCCACTGCAGTCAGCATGTCGTTGTGTCCCTGAGACACTTTACCCCAAATTGCTCCTGTGGGGATTGTCCCCAGTACTGAATGTATGTAAGTCGCTTTGGATAAAAGCGTCTAACAAGTAATGTAATGTAAAAATTCCCCTTTTTAGGGCTGTAAATTATGATTATTTTCATTATTGATACATCTGCTGTTAAAGTAACTATAAAGTAACTTTGGTGTCCCCATCAGAATCACTCAGTCATCATGAAAATGTAGCAGAATAATGAAACTCTGAGGTCTTATTATAAATGGCCAAACATTTACACACATATCAGTACAATGATAAGTCTCTTGAAATGCGTTTCCTTCATTTTATACCGTATTTTTTCATTGGATGTACGTGATTTTGGCATGTCCCACACTACTCTGCTAACTACAGTGTGTGTAATAAGTGGTTAAATGATACTACATTTTTTAAATAATGATATGGTTTTATTGTCCACAACGACTTATTTGATAAAACGAGTCATTTTGATCATGTATATTCTATTTTCATAATAATATTGAACATTTTGCATGTGTCCCTGACATTGCTGTCCACCCTGTCATTATGGGGTAACTGCCCCTATAAAAAACATCTGATGGAGGCTGAGACATTGGCTAGTTGCAGAGTAAGTATTTCAACTTATATTTCGTAATTTTAATCATATTATGTGTGTAGTTGGATGTTGTCAAGCTTAACATGTCCACTCTGTCATAGTGAAATGTCAATTAATAGAAAAAACGTTCAGAAATTCGAAATATATTTGTTAAACAGTACACAGTCACCTTGCTAACTGAATCATGTTGCTAACTGAAGGTCCACCATGTGCTCAATAAATGCTAATATTAGCCAAACATGTCCACCCTGTCATTGTCCACCCTGTCAGCAAGCCTTCCATGACAGGGTGGACATGGTACAAATAGTTTGCCATAATTTCATTATTATCCAAATACTTTTTCCATTAACTGAAATATATTGTTGAGAAAGAGACTAAATAGCTTTTTGAAAATGTACATTTTATAATCACTATGTAATTACAATGTATTTACTCTACTTTGAATTTGTCCATGTCAGGGTGGATACATTTTTGCTGTTTGCATGTACATTGTCTGCCTGCAGTTAATTTATAAAAAGTGTGGGAGCTTGACCAACATCCATTTCTAACAGCATAACATATACTTACAATGAATATGAAGTTCAATGGAAAATCTCAGCTTTTTTTTTGGAAATGGGGGAGTCTGAAATGCACCTTATGGTGATATTGACTCATTAGCCAATTAAAAAGAAAATACAGAAAAATGCCCAACAAAATGTCCCGAAACCCAGAGATATTGTATTTCCAATCATATAAAAGGAGCAGGAACAGATCTTTTTATTTTTGCTCAATAAATGATCCATCAATTATCAGGCCTGTTTTCTATAAGTTTTCTGTCAATTAACTAATGGATTTATTAGACCTGCACTTGCTAAAGTGTTGAAACATTCTGCTATATAAATATGGTTTATCATTTGTACAACAACCTTTTGGAAGATGTAACAAATTATCCCAAACATAGGACAGTAATGTTGTTAGTCATAACAGACAGTAAGATTTCTACAATTGACTGGATCTGACTATAAGACATGTACATAAACTCGCCACGAGCTGTCATCTAAATGTATTGATTGTGACAGATTATCCGTAGTGAAAAGTAAATACACCTGCAGGCTGTAGTTACATGTCATCATCTCTGTATGGCATCAGGCTCTGCATGTATAAGAGGAAAACACAGATACTTCCTTACACAGGCAGAGATGTAATCCTCTTTACTCCGTTAATCTAAACGACATCTTCACCTGGCTGAGGATACAAGCAGGAGGCAAAACACCGCATTCAAAGAGTGTGAAACGACACAAATGAAGCCCTAATGCAATAGTTTGCTGCACGAACACTGGTGGAGGTTACGAGTGTATCTGTCACGCTCCTCTCTGCGGATTTCTCCTCACCTCGTTCACCAGACCCTGCCAGTCGCTCTCGCTCCTCCTGCTCGGATCCATCTCTCTCTGCACTGCAGGGGGGAAATATATAGTAATGACGCAAGGTGAGTTTCAAAACAGCATCACTGGGTTGTGATCGGATTTAAAGACGCATCAAAACCGTGGATTAACTGATCGAGGAACAGGAGCTGTATCACTTCCGGACGTCACTGACGTGAGAGATGCGTCACGACGCATTTGGAAACCCTCGTAAAAATAGGAACTAAGCGTTAATAGTGGACTAGTAGCTTTGTATGGAGACCTACATTGGTAAACAACGATTTAGCTTTAAATACATTAAAGAGGCAACATGAGGTTAGTATATATGATAAATAATTATAAAATATATGATTTTAGCTGCTTATAAGCTTGAGAAGGTAAAACAAATCTTTATTTATCCACTGATTTAAATCAAATATGCATCTTAATTTAAAGGTTCATGTCCTTATAGATACAAATTGAAGTATAGGAAACTGTATTTTTATTTTGTGCAAATCAATTAAAAAAAAAATCGATAGTAGATAAAGAACAGTAAACATGGAGTTACTTGGCAGCAGAACGATACAGTCTGGGGAGCAGGAGGGGAGGGATCTGACAAGATGGTTTATCTCAAGAGGCTTTTAAAGCTGTATCAATCACATCAAAGCCTCAAGACTGAAAGACAATAACACTAGACGATGATGATGATGATGATGATGATGATGATGATGATGATGATGATGATGATGATGATGATGATGATGATGATGATGATGATGATGATGATACTCGCTTTGTCTTCCTGTTCTTTTCAATAACCATATGATTGTGTTGTGTGTCCTCTGCTGCAGTTAAAAGGAAATGCTGTCTCAGATGCCAGATGCCCTATCAATTTCAAACGTGCTCACTGAGGCACTTTGTCTCTGCTTTATGGACACAATGCACAGTATGTGCATCTGCAAGAATGGAGGACAGAGTGAAACACAGATGAGTACAATACATGTGGTTAAATGCTCTTTAATGCGTTTACACAAACACATTCTTACAAGACTGAAGGCTGTCAGTGAAGCGTTATAGCTCTATAGAGTCAAAAATAAATATATAAATAATTGTCAGGAATATTACAGAAACATAGAAAGGCAAAATGTTTTTTAAAGAAATCTGAAATGCTAACAAAATATTGCTTATGCTAGATCTTGTAAGCATTTTAATTTAAGATGTTGTGACATGGCCTAATTTGAACATCATGCCATTGTAATGTCAAATATGTATATTCGAAACCAAACTGACTGTAATTAAATCTGTACAATACATGAAAAATATCAAAGGATCAGTAAATAAAAAGCAAACATGTGTGTCTTAAGACCGTGTAAATGTCATTTCAAGTCACATAGCAGCACACAATTAACCTCAATTAAAGGTAGGGTATGTAAGTTTGAGAAACCGACTCGAGAAAATCTGCCACTTCCTTACAGAGCCCCTCCAACACACACGAACGCGCACATGACCAATGAGGGCACGAGATAAGTTTGTGCACAGATGGAAGGCTGACAGGCAGGTAGGCCATCCAGTTATTTTAGCCGGGCCGGCTAAAATGATTGGTCGTGCTTTTTACAGTACTACAGCTTCCACAGATGACATTTTTTAATGGATTTTTTGTCAAAGCACTTAAGATATTCATTGCTATCGGGATGTTAAGAGCATTCCATGGAATATAACAAAAAGTGTATCTCGAGCCGGTTTCTCAAACTTACATACCCTACCTTTAACCTCAAGATTGTTATTTAGAGCAACAGTCAGTATTTTACATTTTGCATAGTAATAAGGGAAAATTACATTTATTTCTGACACCAATCAGGCACTCTGTTAATAATGTAGCTTGTTATGAATGCAGTGCAGTTAGGCGTTAGTCTTATAATATAAAGCTAATACATTCAGCTGCGTTACTGGGGATAATGTCACCAAGAAAACCTCTGTTTCATGCACATTTTAATCATCAGTCATGACAGTAAGTAGTTGTTCATTTTGTCCAGTAATCACTTCAGATACACAGTTTTGTGCATTTTAGGGTTACATTTGACTTTTTGCTTGCAGTGGTTGGGCCTGGTGTCTGAAACAATCACTGCTTTCCAACACAACCATATCTTCATGTGTACAACCATGTGGTACACCATGCATACCTTCTCAAAGTGTGTGACATCATCCCTATTTTTAAACCATTATCACATCTTGACCCTCTCTATGACAGCAGACTTTTCAAATGTGACCTTACGTAAGAGCTATTAACAGCTTTTCCAGCATACCAACACCTTGAGAGTTGCAGCGCCATAGGCAAAATAGTTACTATTTCTGGCTTCTCACTTTAAATAAGCACCAACCTAACAGGTGCAACATTAGATAATCATATATAATAGTCTATGCCTTTTTTATATCCCTAAAGTTTTCCTACTACCTGTGTGGGGTGGCCAGACTAAAGCTATGCCCATAATAGACACCTTTTAACATAATATGTAGTTTGCCATAACAATATCTTCATGCTGGTTTCATTTCAAAGGTTGAAAGGCCATCTTTAAGAACAGCCTTTAGTTAATGTTTACTGGGGACCTAACATACCTCCAGAATTGCTGGAAAGTCATATGAGTTACAGGAACCTGGCAAAGATGTTTGTCTCAAACCAAGGAAGATACATGTTTCATCAATATACAGCATTTGAGACTGCTTTTTAGCATTTATGGAACAATTATTCCGATAAAGTGATTAGTCATTATCTTTGCAAGGCTTTATAAGCTTAAGTCTACCATTACATTCTCAAAAACCATAGATTTGCCCTTGAGGCTGGAGGAGAAGATGAAATTCCTCCGCTCGGTGGTTACTACTATAAATGAGCGGGGCGACTGCACATAAATGTCCTTGAACTTGTGGAAGGTTTTGGTCTCCGCATCCCAGAGGTAGATTTGTGTGAAAGAGTAATCGCTGCCCAGAGCAAGGTAATGCTTGTCAGAGATTATGAAAGGCTGGAGGATCATCGCTCCTCGAGAAGGAAGAGCCTGCACATCAGTGAACTGCTTGTTGGTCCACTTCAGAACTTTTGAGTCACCGATGTAGCAAGTCATGGCCAGATACAAGTCCTTGTCTATCCGGAAGGCTTTGACTGCCACCACGTCGTCAACATTTGTGATTTCCCCATGATATATGAACTTCAGGGTGCTCTTGTTCCAAAGGTAGATGACAGGTGGCTGAGAGCGGCTGGTTAGGATGAGGTAGGACTTCCCCTCCCATTCGACGAACTCAGCATCTGTATCACGAAACCACTCGTGGAGAAACTGGTAGGAGAAGAAACCCGTTTCATTGCGGTCTGGTTGGTCGGTCCACTTGTACAGAGTAGACATTCCTGCCTTGGAGCTGTCCACGATCACAAAGTACCAGTCCCCGTCCATTTGGAAGACCTCAATATCGTTTGGCTTGGAGATGTTAAATACCTCAATGGTTTGAAACTTTGTGAACTTGTTTTGACGATCGTCAAACTTGTAAATATGGGAGCCGCCAAAGAGCTGGGTAACAATTACTAAGACATGGTTGTCGATCAGGACAGACTTGCATCCAACAACAGACTTTCCTGTGAGGATGAAAAAGATGTGTGGTATTAAAACACAGAACATTACATCAAAGTTGATCATCTATCTACCCTTAATCAACCATTTCATTATAAAGCTGTTCTCTTCAATTATTTTCTATTTTTGATATTGTCAAATTAGCTGTGCATTATCTGTGGCTCTAGGTCCAAAGCCCACTGGTTCTAAAAAAAAAACACATTATTTTAAAATAGCACAATCATTTCAAAAATACTCATTTTAACAAACATTTCTCAAACAGGATTACAATTTGAAATGGTTGGGAAATATTTGTAGCTGTGCATCGACACATATTTGGTGATCTGGACAGTATTTACAGCACCAGGACAGTGTTTGTGGGATTAATTAAAAATAGACGATAGTGTCCATGTTCATTGAAATAAAGTAACCTGTCAGATGGGGTAAAATGTGTTTTAATAGATTTTAAACAACAATTGAGTTTTACAACAAAAAACTGATTAAGCTGCATTACTTGTTTCTAGGACCAATTCTTTGTTGGTTTTGGCCTTTTCATGAGATGTTCTGACTATAAGAAAATACATGAATATCACTGGACTCATCCTTTAAAAAAGAAAGACTTTTGGTGAATGTTATCAAACCTGTTATATTGTCAAATTTCCTGAAATTCATTTCCACGTGATCCCACTCCATGACCACACAGCTGTTGGAGATGGGGGAAGCCATCGCCACGTAGATGTCTTCTTTATAGGAGAAGATGTCCGCTGACATGGACTGAATGGGAATGTACTGATGACTCACAAAGTCTGTGAGATGCAGAGAAAAACTAAATCTACTAGTCTGCTCAAAGAAAAAGGGAAAGAATATACATGTATACACTTATAGTATGTTAAATTACATAATGCTCCGTCAACATGCAACAAATTAATGAAATGTAATTTATTCCAATACATAAAGGTCTTACTTAAAATACTTAACAAACACCTACAAACATTACATCCCCACCAGCTGCAGTTGTTATAAAGATGATTATATGATTATATGGTAAACAATATACGTCAGCATTTTAGTTACCATGCTGACCATACCATTTAGCTCAAAGCACTGGTGTGTGTGTGTGTGTGTGTGTGTGTGTGTGTGTGTGTGTGTGTGTGTGTGTGTGTGTGTGTGTGTGTGTGTGTGTGTGTGTGTGTGTGTGTGTGTGTGTGTGTGGTGTGTCTGTTCAAAGGCACATATAAACAGGCATTACATCCGCTTGTTTGTTTTTGAGTGCATGGTAGTCTCCTGTTGAATTATTTAACAGTTTTAATGATTTTATTTACCTTTTTTTAACATTGTATCTTTAGCTGTGCCTATTCATTATTCGTTTGATGGCGTTTGTGTAATTTTACCTGTGGAGATACACTCGCCCGGTGGGATAGGAAGGTCATTGAGCCGCTTGCCCTTCATGTCACTGGGGCCGGCGCAGAAGACATCTGACACTGTGGCGTTGGTGTTTTTCAGCCACATCATCAGCCACTTGTTCTCACAAATACACTGGAAAGAGTTGCCTCGCAGATCCCTGTTGTATGACATGGTGAAATCAGCTTGGACACACTTAATATATTTAAAAATTCAGAAGAAGAAGTATTCAGGTGCCATAAAGGCTTGAGAAAGTAAAGTCCTTAAAGATGTTTCTGCATGTGATAAAACTAAGTAATATTCAAACCCACTTTATGATGCTCAACATGATAATGCTGCATGCTTCTGGACATAAACCTTGCACCTTTTAAATGCATTTTCAAGAACAAGCATATACAGCAGTTGGTCCAGATTGATGATGAAGTGTTTTGGAATGTATACCCATTGACCTTACCTTGATTATTTAAGCCACATATTATGTTTCAAATAGGTTTCACATTTCACTGTAGAATGATTTATTAAAATGAATTAAGAAAGGTAACAAAATAGCTAGAAAGAAAATCTTAAAAATTGTAATGCAGTATCAAGGAAACAAACAAAGAAACTCGATAATGCTATCCATATCATCATTCTTGTGGGGTTTAATGCTGCCAAACACAAACTCCGCCTGAGTCAGCTTCACTTAGCAACGCAGTCGAAACACACACACAAACACACACACGCACACACACACACACACACACACACACACACACACACACACACACACACACACACACACACACACACACACACACACACACACACACACACACACACACACACACACACACACACACACACACACACACACACACACACACACACACACACTGCTGACGCCACAACTGCTTACTCACAGTTCCAGCAATGAATCCAAGTCAAAAAACAGATCCCTTGGCAGAAACCTCATCTTGTTATTGGCAAGCGATCTAAACCAGAATCACAAGGAGACCAGTAAAAATGAACAAATATGTAATGTATTCAGTCTTTCTCTGTCAAAGTAAGGTGATGGTGCAGCAGATTATGCATGTGTGGTACAGAAAATGACTGCAGACTTACAGATGAGTCAAATCTCGCAGACCACGAAAGGCATATTTGGTGATGGTTTCAATCGTGTTCCCTTCAATAAATCTGTTCAGTGAGTCAAACAATGTGGTTTCACTTGAAGTTAATAAATGTCATATTCAATCATTTCAGATAATGATAGACATGTCAGAATATTATGGATGGGTAGGTTATAACGTTTTGGAGAATAAGATAGTATATAGTCAAATTAACTTATATGCAAGGCAAAACATATCTGAAAAACAAATAACATGATGTAAGTTAACATGATGCATTAAGTAAGCATTAGATTTGATACTCACAAATATTCCAGATGTGGTAGGCCAGAGAAAGCATCATCTTTTATTGTTGTCAAAGAATTTGCATTTAAAAGTCTGCAAAGGAAAAACACCCAAACAATTGAGTAAGCCAATCAATAACACTCCCAACACTTCTGCTTGGTTTTCAAATAACCATGACACACAAAAAGATCAGACAAGTTAGCACTACTATAATCTATATGTGTGTCTGTGTGTTGCACTGTCTCTAAAATATACCCCTGATATAGCCATGAATGATCAAGTAGCCTAATCAATAACAACATTACACTTACAGCAGCTGAAGAGAGGGCATAAGAGAAAACATTCCCTCTGTGATTTCAGAAATGGATCCATTAACCAGGCTCCTGTTGGGAGTAAACAAACACAAATCAAAGTCTGTACCAGACACACCGAGAGCCAACTCTGCAGGGGAGCACCGCGTGGCAAGTTCATTGTCTCCTTGAACGCAACATTGGCTGTTTTATGCTTAACAAAATAAATAATCCACAAACACTGATACTCACAGGGAGTTGATCTCACTCGGTATGGTCCGTGGGATCTGTAAAGTCCCGACGCAGATGATGGTCTCCTTGGTGCAGGTGCATCCTGAAGGACATTTGAAAATCCGTTTGGATTCAACTGCTGCATAAATGCACAGGAGCGAGAAACAGACCCGTAGCCACTGCTGAGACGATGTCATGTTGCCTCTTGAACATTAGTCATATAAAATAAGGCCGTGATCGGTGCTAGCTGCAGCTTTTACCCGCCTGGCCAACAACCAAATGCAGCAGTGGTGGGAAACCCTGACACAGGCTGACACAGAGCGTCCCGGAAGGATGCCTCTCTCCCGGACAGAGGGGGGGGGGGACAGAAACGTCGAGTCGTCAGTAATCACTGTGGTAATGTGTTGAGACACGCAATAATGTGTTCAGTGGGAAATCAATGACTTAACGTCCTAAAACATATTTAGAAAAGTTATATTCAAGGTGGTATATCAATACTAAATCACAACAATGCTTTAAGCTTTGCATACTATTCTGCACAGTTTCTATCATATTCTGTGTCTATTATATTCTATTTTATTTTATTTACTAGTACTCTTGTATCTGTTTTATTGTGTTGCACTGTTAGAGGAGCTTGTGACCTAAGATTTGCATTGTCATAACTACACTAGCTATGCAAACATGACAATAAAAGCCTTGAAACTTGAAACCTTGAAAAGGTGGATATTTCAGCACCATGGACAGCATTAACACATTGATACATTTACATGCAGACTTCACCACGTAGTTATACCAGATGACTTCATCAGTACAGAAAGCCCCATCAAGAGGAAATGCATTAACAAATAATGCAGCCTGCAGGCCACCAGTTATATGAAACATGACCTCACAAAACGTGTGCCCAAAACTTCCTCCTTGTCAATTGTTCTCCTCAAAGCTTCAGTTATACGTGTCCAGCTCAGTTTAATTATTAGGATATACAGTATATTTAACTAATGTCTGGTGTAGTGCTGTTACATGATTATACCACTAGAGGGTGGCTATTGATAACTAAAGGGGGAACAAACTCCAAGTCTGACCAAGTTTACAGATTTGTTCACTCAAAGAAAAAGTAAGCTGCTATATTTATCTATTTATATGATTTAATATGATGCAATTATTTTGATAAGGTTTAGTTTTCTAGAAGAAAATCATCCATGGAGCATTTATTGATTTTAGCTCCTCCATTATTGTGTCCTCAAAGGAATATTTTTAAAATCCTACAAACTATAAAATATGGGATTTGTGAGTTAAATATTTAGTAATACTTTGTTATTTTATTTGTATTTAATCGTTTATTTGGCATTTGGACAATGCACAGTAATGAACACTTAAAACATTCAAATGTATCAAGCATAACAGTGCCAGATTTAGCTTTGAGCTCATTTCCATCCGCAGTCCCTCACATAAAACATTTAAGAAAATTACATTTTACAAACATGGCAAAAACAAAATACATGATATGCAAAAAGTGCAAAAGAGCAAGAGCAGCATACACGAGTATTTACCACATGGCAGTACAATATAGCAGCTACGACATATAAGGTACAAGAGTTGATGTTTCTTTTGTTACTGCAGGAGTCTTTGTTGCTGTCTTGGTCTTTCCTTCTACACATGTATTGATGAACAAAAACACACAAGAACACAACATTTTCTTGGGGTTCTTTATTTCCGCCACTTTCCCTTTTCAGGTTATTTTGTTTTATTATTTACAAATTGTAAACAATTTAAAAAAGGGTTTATATCGAATGGTTTAAAACAAACTACAAGATCACAATAGGACACACTTCATTTCACCCTATTCATTGGATTTGCAATCCACAATCATGACCCTAAAGCTTTCAAATAGATGTTATTAAGTTTGCTTTAACAGCCAGATAGCAGCATTTTTCATAGAAAGAAGTTTTCTCCAAACAATAGGGTTGTTAGATGTCGCAGCAGGCCCTAACAAGGTGCTGACCTTTGCTGGAGGACCAGCAGTTTATGAGCATGAGTGAAACCAAATACCCATTGCCAGAAGTGGGCAACCGTACATGTCTGCCATTGCTGGCATAATTCATGACGGCTTTGCATAGCATTGCTGTTTTTAGGCTAGAGTATCTCTGAAACACTCAAGACACGTGCAAGCTGAAACCAGAGGACGCCACGGCAAACAGCTCTTCGCTATTTCTTTCTAGACAATCATCACCATATTATGACATTTTACTCTGTCATTTTGACTTTACTGTTTTGGACGTCTGTACAAGTCAATTCACTTTAAACAAGTCTCCTTGTGATCAAATATCTTCACCACCAATCAATTTAGTAGGGAAGACTGTGATGTCTGTTGCATCTTTTTGTTGTAGATGAAGTTGTAAAACCAACTAAAATGACAATGAAGAGTATATCATTTATGAGCATACAAAACTGTATGTGAAACATAACATACATAAAGAAGTAAATATGACAAGCACACATAAAACACTCAAATAAATAACGTGATTTTAGGGTGTGTGTATTCTGCTATCTAATAATAAATAAAATGGTCCCATTACCATTCAGTTTGTTAGTACAACCCCAATACTCGGTCTCAACGGAAGTGGTACATTAATAGTAACTTAGTGGTATGAATGCAATGTAGTATTGTTATATTTCTAAATACTGTACTTTCAGCTGCAGCACATGATCAAAAGGTGTACGATTATTTTTACTTTAGTGACATCCGATGGTAGATTCAAGGCCTTACTGGTGGTGTTAACGGAGTCTATTCAGTAATATAAACGTTTATGATGCATCGATTACAATTCACAGATGTGTTTCTTTCTAACAAGTCTGCCATTTTAATTTGATTGGGACATTATTTATTAACAATAATAACTTAAAAACCCTCTTCAAAGGGTGGCTTGTGGTCTGAGTTATCTGAGCTTTACACATTTAAATGGTGGTGCATTGTAAAAACCCTTGAGGCAATTGTAGATCAGACATGATATATTGCTGTCTATACAAAATATATACATTATACTCACATTAAACAATTTGGCAAGTTTCCCTTTATCATTCTTTATGATATGATTTGATAAGAATGGGTTGCTTCTTTGAAATTCTAATATGTAAACATTATCAAACTAACTGAATCCTTCACCAGAGGGTCACTAAAGGAGACCTAAATATTCATTTCACACTGATCATTTATCCTCCTTAAGTGAAATGTCATTATCAGAGGTTTAGGGTAACCCTCTAATCCCTAACATCCAGTAAACTAGCTCACATAATGACACTTTCAAATCCAAAGAGGACCTTTTAACCCTTTGAACCATGGGACCCCTGAGAGGAGGGGAAACCTGGAGAGGTCTGGCTGCTGAGTATTGCCTCACAGCTGGTGTTTCAGGCACTGCAACGTCTCCAGTTCCCTCAGGAGTCAGGAGTCGTTTCAGAAAGTCACCGGCGTTGCTAGGTGGCACGATCTGACGGGAAACACAAACATTTCAAGCTGAAATCAGGGATATGTTCAACATGCCTGTGTTCCCAATATTATATAAATCCAGAGCAATCCATCATCTTTTTAACTTTAGTTTTCTCTCATCATTGTTTTTTAATTTTTTATTATGAACCCCTGGACATACAGGTCGACCTTCATTTGTGAAAAATTACAATAATCCACACAGTCTAACATTATTGGATATACATTATGTTTAGCTTGTTTCAACTCCTCATATCATGAATGACTGTGTGCGATTTTTGAATTTAAAATAAAGTTGTGTGCGTTTGGACAGTATTTGGCTGCACAGCATGAGTTTCTTAGTGACTGCTGATATATTGAAACTAATTAACTGAATCACACTATTTACAATATTCTTCCAGTTAAGAGGTAATTGTACTTTCCTACAAGTACATCCATTTCATGGCACCCATCAACCAAAACCAATACATAATAAAACAAAAGACATCTGTAAAGTCAGTATAATCGTGCTTACAATGCGTAATAATAACAACACAAATAATGATAATAACTTCTCAGTTGCAGCAAATAAAATCGAATAATATACAATTCATACATTAAGTGCATGCTGCTTAAAATAATTGTATTTGAATAACAATTTTAATGCAATTACTGGTAAAAGAACATTGTTTGTTTTACTGAAGCAAATGTTATTAGAATACTGTTTCCACCCAAAACAAAAAAAAAGACTCAAGGGCATTTGTCTGTGCAATTGGGAATGTTCACTTGGCTTAATAAATTGGAATCATGTAAAGAACTATGAGTTTAAAGGTGGGGTAGGTAAGTTTGAGAAACCAGCTCGAGATCGCTAGAATTTGAAAATACACAACCGGAGAAAATCTGCCACTTCCTTACAGAGCCCCTCCTCCAACACACACGAACGCGCACATGACCAATGAGGGCACGAGATAAGTTTGTGCACAGATGGAAGGCTGACAGGCAGGTAGGCCATCCAGTTATTTTAGCCGGGCCGGCTAAAATGATTGGTCGTACTTTTTACAGTATTACGGCTTCCACAGATGACAATTTTTTATGGATTTTTTGTCAAAGCACTTAAAATATTCATTGCTATCGGGATGTTAAGAGCATTCCATGGAATATAACAAAAAGTGTATCTCGAGCCGGTTTCTCAAACTTACCTACCCTACCTTTAAGACCAATACATTTGTCAAACATTTTCTTCCACTTATTATTCTCAATACAACATTGAGATGGAATTGCAAAATATTTCTATATTTCTTTCCCCCTATTGTTGTATTTTATTCCTTTTGCTTAAACATGTAGTTTCCATTTCGTGATCATTTTTTATTTAAAGATGTCTGCCATCTGGTCAGCTCTTACTTAGTTGAGAGTCTGGAAAAGTTTTATTTAAAACTGCAAAAATCTACAACATTTCCAGTGTCAAACTCCAGGCTCCTGAAGTGGAACCTATCAGAGTTTTTTGAATGCTTTCGAGCCGCCATGTAGACGAACGTCTGCTCTGCGACTGCATAACTGTCTGACCAACGCTTGTCAACCCTGAAAATCTGTCACTGTAAAATCAACACTTGTTAACGCTGGAAGATTTGCTGTGTTACTGTTAAACTTATCCTTGTATATTTTTAGAGCAGGTACATATTGTGTATGATGTATCAACCTCTGATGCGTCTTCACACTGACTCTTCTTGTCATTGATTAATGGTGCTCATGATTTAACACCTGCTGTTTTAATGTAGCCACTGTAAGAAACTGATCTCAACGTGCTTGCGTGAGCACTGTCCCTTTTTAAATAGCTGCCTAAATGTATCAGCTTTGTGGAGGTCAGTTTAACCTGGGTGTATGTTCATGTTTTGGCACAGAAAGAAGATAATACAATCTTAAAAGGCTCTCACTTCAAGGAAATACAAGCACTGATTTTCCACATTAGATTTATTACGAAATAATTTCCACCACAATATAAACGAGGTGGTTATAAAATAATAAATGTTGATTGAAATCATGTTTTATTTTCATTTGTATCATCGATATAAAAAGTTGAACGTTCAACTGAGAAAAGTAAATGAAAACCGAGTAAAACATGTATTAATAGGCCAGCACGGGTATGTCATTTAAAAGCGATTATGGGTATATATTTCTTTAATGTGAAACCTTAGCTTGAGCCATGACCTTTAGTAGTACTGCTGTTTATCTTTGCATTGCAGCAGAGGCACTCATACAGAGTTATCCAATCCTCAGCTAGGTCATGTCTTTTAGAAAGATGTATTGTTATATTTGTTGAAATACTCGCAGCCTGACATCAATCATTGAATCAAATGTTTTATGTTTCCTATACACAACCTTTAAATATATTGCACTTCAGTCAAAGTAAAACTCAGGTAAAAGTCCTGGATTCATCTCATACTTTAGTAACTGATGATCATCAGCTAAATAGGCTTCTTAAAGTATCAAAATAAAATACCATGTTCTACAGAAAAACACGATATGTTATACAGTACATCATTATATTGCTATTGATGCATTGATATACAAAGCTTTTTATTGTTGTAGCTGCAGCAAGTTTTAAATACTTCATAAACGGTTAAGTATTTTTAATTCAGTAGTTTCCAAACCTAAGGATCGGCTTGAAAGGGTTGCAAGATAAATGTGAGAGGTCAATTGGATGATTAGAAGAGAGAAAAACAATCACATTTTTAAATTGTATAATTCTTCTTGGACTTTTCTGAACTTGTTTCTAACAAGACTCTGCCTGTTTGAAAGGGGACACAAGCCAAAAAGGCTAACACAGAGGGTAAAAGTGGGATTTGAGGGTGACAAAGGCTTTATACTGGTGGCCTCTGTCCTTGATAGTGCTGTCAGTGTGCCCTCCACACGCAGCAACTGTTAGCCCAACCCCTCCCCGCCGCATACCACCAATCTGGGGCCCCGTCCAGAAACAACACTTGTGTCTTCAACACTTAGACAGTGCTCTAATAACTGGATCATTACTGTGCGTGAGAGCATTAATCAGTATTGTCCCTGATTGCAAACGAAATTATTATCAAACACCCATCTATTTACTGTTGGCAAGGGAGACCAAGTGTCCCAATGGTGGTAGCAGGAACAAATTCTCAACAGATTAGACACAAAATCTACAGATGACTGCATGAACTTGTAGTAAATTCTTTGAGCTGACTGGCTGGTGGGGAATATTTTTCTCAATCAAGGAAAGGCAGCTGTTTCAGTGAGGGGGCAGAGCACTATGGCATTCTCACATCTACAAACATTATGAGTGCCAACATTAAGTAGCTTAGTACATTGACCAATCTGTGCACCCACACAGTCCTTGATATACAGTAACAATTTGACCTGTATGCAGGGTCGCTAAATGTGTGTGTGTGGGGGGGGCAATGGCCCGTACCCCACTCCCCAATACCCTATTTCTGGTTCCCTTACTCGGACCACAACCATTTTCAAACCCAGCTTTCATTTTGGGCTCAACTACACCTTGTGACTGCATATACCGCAGTTAGGTATATTTACCATTTGATGTTGCATTCAAGATGACTTCATGTGGTATAATAGTTTATAGAGGGTATTGTTAAAGCGTCATAATCCACTCCATGAAGTGCCTGTGCCCATTTAACTGACTGTATTATTAGTATATTCAGTCATTTTAAGCTTATTTTGTTATGTATTATGAAACACACAAATACCCTTTGCAATACTAAATAGTAGACTAACTCAATTGAAAAACTAAACTAATACCTTCATCAGTAAGTGCATTAATAAACCCATGTGATACCAATACGAGTTTAAACTGTTTATAAAGTTATAAACCAAATTTAATTTCTTAAAAATGTTAAATAAAGTGTTGTGTTACAAAGAATGAACTCATTTGGGAATTTTCATTTCCTATTATTATTAAGAAATGCAACAATGTCTCTCAAATGTGTTTAAGCCGTTTTGAGGAATTGATATGGGGAACTGTTCTTCTAGTAATGGTGCTGAATCTTAGCACTTTTTGGAGGATAGTTGCATAAGACCTCGCTTTTCATGTACAATAGATACAAAATATTTGATTATAAACTTTTGAAAACGGTTTACAGCTTCACAACTGAGATAAATCATCGTTGGATTTTCATCGGGACTCTCTCTCTCTCGCTCTCTCTCCCTCTCTCACCCACTCACCCTCCTCGCTCTCCGTCCCCCTCGCCCCTGCAGCCTGCAGAGTTTTCCGTCCTGTGTCGAGGTAACATCGTAAACGAGGACCACCTGACGGTAAGACCGGACTAAATGGAAGCAGCGGAGGAAACTCTCACTTACCGAGATGACACCTTACTTCACAGGAAGCTGCTCCCAGAGGACAAGCATAAGGACACCACGGAGCAAATCAGCGAGGTGTCTAACTATGTGGACCTGGACATGAAACCGGACGGGGCGAAAACAGTGAAAGTGACTTTCACTGGCGAGGGAAACCAGCTGTCAGTTATCAAATGTGAGCATTCAAAGCAAGGGGAGCACGACGATGAGGGTGAAATCATTTCAGATGACTTAGTTGGAGAGAAGTTAGAGGACCCCCCCGTCCCCGAGCCTGTTTCTGATGAGCCGCCTATGGAAATCAAACTTCCCACCACCGATCAGGAGAGTGAGGATCAGCGCCAGGCCGACCCCAGTGAGTGCAGTGAACCTGTGCGCAGTGAGAGCGATGAGCTCCAGTACACCGACATGTATCTGAACAGCAAGACGGAGTCTGATGATGGCACGAGCGCGGGGCTCTCCGACCAGTGCGGCTCCGACGCAGTGGAGGACGAGTCCCATTATATCACGACGCACGAAATCCAGCTCACCGAGCTCGACCACGACGTAGATTACGACCTGGGACGAGGGACCTGTTGGGATTTTGAAGACGACAACCTTGTCTATTCTTTTGTGGATTACGCGTCTTTTGAAAGCGATGATTCACAGGAGGGGATTTTGATTCTGGAGGGCAGGAGCCAACCGAAAGTGCCGTCAGGAGCAGTTGTCAGCACCGAGCAGGATGATAGTGATCTTTGTGACTCGGACAAATGTGCCAGCTCAGATGAAAGCGTGTTCAAAAACCACAGTGGAGACGCTAATATGGGGAAAATTCATTTATCAATTAAAACTTCCTCCAGGGCTGTGAACGAACCTGTCTTTGACAACACGAAACACTTCAGAGACGGGAGCCACCTCTCGTTGGTGAGCTCTGGCGGCAGAGTGGGGCCCTTCATCCCCGCTCCGGGCCGTCAGCACCTTGCTTCCAAACTGAGACGGAAAGATATTAATGAGTACTCCAGCGGAGCGTCCAGTTCCATCAGCGAGCTGGACGACGCTGACAAAGAGGTGCGTAATTTAACCGCCAAGTCTTTCCGGAGCTTGGCATGTCCGTACTTTGACGCCATTAATCTTAGCACCTCGAGTGAGTCTTCTATGTCGGAATATGGGCTAAATAACTGGTCAGCTTATGTGGACTGGAATTATGGAAATGTTTCACGGGGACGAGGGCGAAGCGTAATTGAGCACAAGACTTCCAGCTCAACTTTGGAAATGAATAAGACTGTGGACAGTAAGAGGCATGGTAAGTCTTTTACCGGCATGAAAGCTCAACAAACCAATGTGTACGCGCTAAACAAGAGAACAGCTTCTGAGCAATCATCCTCTTCTAGTAAAAATATCCAGCTAAACGATCCTGTTCAACGAAAGCAGCGTGGAGTCATGCTGAATTTCCGCTGCAATGTGAACGCACCCGAAAACACCAGACGGCCAAAATGTTCAAAAAAAGCACGATCCAATGAGGTTACTGGGACTGTGCTGGCCAGGTCAGGGTGTGAGATAAAATATCATCACACAGAAAGCACGAATGATACACACAAAAGAGCAGTTTTTGCATCAAGTCTATTGACCAATGTGCTTTCTAAAAAGATGCAGTTTGAGCAGGAGTGCAAAATGGAGAGGGGTGAACTTCGTGATAAACACCCAGCCCTCTCCCCAAGTTTTCAAATCAAAGACCAGGACAGGATGAAAGACAGAAGTCATGGGAGATGCTTTCAAAGACAGGCATCCGATTCAGGCTCAGGCTGCACTGTTACTTCTGCTGATGATCAGAGCCTGGATGGCAGCAGACCTTGTTCCTGTGAGCCTTTAGAGAAATGCAACAAACCCCCAGATGATTCAGAAAAGAGACATCAGGGGCCTGTCAACGCATTGCTCGGCCACAGTGAGAGTAGTGCATTTAATCTACTAAGAGATGAGACAGAACCTGTGAATGAGGCTGAACCCACACCTGCGACAGACACAAAAAAAGGACAAGACAACAGCAGCATGCTCACAAAACTCCTTTTTGTTCCAAACTGCCAGCTCCTTTCAAAAGAGAAGGATCGTACAGAGGATTCGTCAAGCCGTCCACCTGTCATAGACCCATTGGCTGGCCAACATAAATGTGAAAAAGAGTTTATCACAGGCAATAGTGGATACGGCAAAGACGACAATATAAAGGGAGGAAAAACCCCTGAGATAAAAATATGCCTGAGGAGTGTGAAAGAAAATAAAGGCTGTACACTGAACATTGCCAACCTGTTAACCCCAAAAATAAGTTTCAACACCGTGAACACATTTAGGGCAGCAGGTGAGGCCAAATGTCACGTTGTGTCTGCTTCAGACAAAATCCCCAACTTTACCGTTAGAGACATAAGAGATACCAAATGTAAGTTTCAGACCCCCATATATCAGGTCAGAGATGTCCGTAAATTGGTAAAAAGTTCCTATCGCTTTGTTTCATTAGATCATATTGAGAGTAAATGTTCAACAGCAGCAGCTGATAGACTTGAGGCCACAAAGGAGCCGGTTAAGCATGTATTACCAGCTCCTATTGTGATTAAATGTCAATCTGTAAAAACAAATGTCAAACAAACAGCAGCTGAGGCGTCACAGGCACAAGCAGAGGAGAATACACCATCACATTGCACCGCCAGTAGGGCGCCACTTGTTGTATCAAAGCACCCTGACCAGATAGACAATCAGCAAAAAATGGAAACCAAACTGACAAAACAGAGGCAGGAGAAGTTAGCATGTGAGACGGCTGAAAGGAGAAATGAGCCTAAAATACCAAAGCAGGCCGCACTAGAGAAGCTTAAAGCTGCAGTCAAAACAATGGAGCAGCTTTATGTTTTTGACAGAAATGAGTGGAAGCGTAAAACTCAAGCTCCACAAACAATCAGAGACAGCCATGTGATGTCACTTATTGCCAGGGAGGAGCATGGAGCAGAGGAGCTGGAGACAATCACTGACAGGACTCCTCAGTCTCAGGAAGATAAAGGAGCTCTGAACATCATACATGTTCCATATGACGATGAAACCTTTAAAACACAACCACAGCTAAATAAAACATTTAGCAACAAACGTGTCCTTCATTTGGGCAATAAGGCACAGGTCAGCATAAGTTCAGTCAGAAAACCTATTCCTCAGAGCTCTGCGCTGCAAACATCCTCAACAATGAAAAGCCCGAAGACACCAGTGGCTCCATTCTCTGTGAAAATAGAGCCTCCCAAACACGGCCAGGTGGAGCAGGGAAAGGTCAAAATCATTCCCACTAATCCCACTGTCGCACCGGCCTGCTCCGACTCTGAGAACTATTTAACCATCCCGGGGCTGGGGTATATGAATGAAATCAAATTGCTGAATCGAGAGCATGTTTCAAGCGTTAGCCAAATCAAAACAGAGGACAGGAAGACAGCCGAGCAGAAAAGATCTCCGTTAATTATGGAGTACCCGACTTCAAGCATCTACCACCGCGCAGCCACAACAGGGCCTCAAGCACAGCAGCAGGTGTTGTGTTTCTCTCCATCTGTCCCGACTGTGTCCCCTACAGGAGAGGCGTTCCCCCAAACCCAGCGCAAGATGCTTTTGGATCCCACAACTGGACATTATTACCTGGTGGATACTCCTATACAGGCCACCACAAAGAGACTATTCGACCCTGAGACAGGCCAGTATGTGGATGTACCCATGTCCCATTCTCCTGTGGCACCTGTCAGCCCGGTGCCTCTCTCGCTGTCTCCCCTGGCCCTGAACCCAGGAGCATTCGCCCCCACCTACATGGTCTACCCAGGCTTCATCCCCTCGCCCACTCTGACAGCCCAGGCGGTGTTGCCACAGTCGCCATGTCACCCTGAGTATGCAGGTGCAGAAAAGGTAAAATTTGCAAAAAGCCCTATGCCAGAAATGAATCCATCAGGCGCAGAGAGTGCGTATTACAGCGCAACAGGGGGAGCATCACAGGTGCCACTGCAGCTTCCTGTAAGTTTGGGATATTTGACCACCAGAGGAAGCGCAGCTAGCTCCAACAGGAAGCCAGTTATCAGCATCACTACGCAACAAGGTCCAAGAATCATCGCACCACCCTCCTTTGATGGAACAACAATGAGCTTTGTAGTGGAGCATCGGTGACCAAACATCGCATCATACATGTAAGCAAGTGAGCACACACTCACATTTCCCTTCATATTTCTTCTTATATGTTCTGTAGTGATGCACACTAGCTTACTATCAACTGAATCCATTCAAATTAAAATTAAATTAAATTGACTGCACTAAGCACTGCTGTGTAATAAAGAAAGGTGGTCCCATTTAAAAATGTCTCTGATTGAAAGATTATCACAATAACAGAGATCAAACAAGGTTCATCCAAAATTGGCATTTTTTCGCAGAACTTTGCTTATGAGCTTGAACAAGGAGCTAGAAATAAGCATACACTTGTATTTGGTCCAGTTTCTACACCTGTTGATAAATAATCCATGCCCTTAATTGGGAGTGAAATTGATAGACATTGATATTTTGATGCTGAACCATTTGCTCTCATTTTGCACCAATGTAACACTCACACAGTTGCGTGGACCTGCGTAAAGATCCCGATGTATAACATGAGTTTTTATAGTTTTATGTGTTGTAAATTATGCTTGATCGGCCGTACAGCTCGACTGTTTCAGCAGTGGCATGTCAGTGTTAATAGACATGCAGTAGCTTCATGACAGGTAACCTGACTCCACTGAGCATGCTGGGATTTTCAGCCTTGGCCCGGCGCGAGTCGGTTGAGTTCCTTTTTCTCTGCATTACACATCGTCGGGCTATTTTGATAGTGTGAGACGAGTTTGTTTACATGGTTTATTCTAAGTGTCACAAGAAAGTATTCCCGTCAGTGACACCTTAGTTATTCTTAATCAGCGTTAGAAATCAGTTAATTACTTGGATAGCATTGCAGTTCCGTGTTTGTGACATCTCATGAAAACTTTTCCCTGGCTTAATGAGTTGGAACATCCTTGCTTTTCTATAGATGACTCATTAACGGTCCACAGTTGTAAAGTATGTAGCTTAAAAATTCAGTTTTATTCAAGTTAATGAAAAAACTTCGCTGATGATACATTTCTTTGAGAATTGTTCTGATTCAGGGATTTAATTTAAATCATTGCTTAGTATGTTGATTATCTTGAATAACTATGAAATTGCTCTTGAAAGCAATGTTTCAGTTCAGTTTCAAACTTGTGTCTACTCCAAATCAGGAAAATGTTTGCACTTAATTAGAAGCACTAGTGTTAGAAATCTAAAAACCGCAGTAACCGTGGTCACTTTGTTACTTGAGTCAGGCGTGCCATGCTCAGCGGTACTTTTTCAGTGTTAACATCCATCAGCTCCAGCTTGACATTTAGCTGCACTTTGTCAGCCTCTGCTGTGACTTGGGCTCAATGCTAGTTGGCTAACGTGCAATGCTTACAGACTGCATGCTAATACATTTGCCTATTTACCAAACTTTTTGCAGTCTAATCGGGTTTTATCACTTGTTTTGTTTAGCACATTTTAATATATAGTTCACAAGAGAAGTTAAGTGACATTTGGAAAGAACAATTGTGCTTTTCAATGTCTTTAACTGTCACAAGCAGAGCTAAGATACATGCTAAAATCATATTTTGAATATATTTACGCACAATTTAACCACCGCAATTAGTACATTAATCAAGTTTCCCAGTAAGGTTCAAGGTTCAAGGTTCAAGGTTCAAGGACTGCATGTATAGTGCTAGTAATCAATACAACAATATGAAAAACTGTATTAGTTAATAATAAGGAAATATTTACAGCTGTATTTTTATCACCATTAATGCATTAATTATGTTCAATACTGTTGTGTGATTGGTTCTGGCTATAAGTCTACAGACTGTGTTAGTAAACAGCTTTATTTGTATTTACTTGCACTATTGTATCTGTTTTATTTGTTCTTTGTCCTATATATATGTTGGACTGTTGGAGGAGCCTTTTTCATTGCCATATCTACACTGTAGCTAATGTGCAAATGACAATAAAGCCTTGAATTTAATTTAATTATGAATTATGTAAACAAGGGACATATCAAGTTTAATAATAGAGAATAATGTGCCCTATTCTCCCTGCTGGTAATTTGTAATTAACTAGTAGACATGTGGGATCCATCTATCTGAACTTGAAGGCATTAGTAATCTTTTTCTAAATGGACAAACAGGCAGGCCAAAAACACAGAAAGAAAGAAATGCAGACATGTGGGAAGAAATGCAAAAAGACAGACAGTAGTATTTCTCTCTCTCGTATTCTTCAAACCAAAAAAAGTTAAAATTAATTCATATACACACTCATATATCCTCACATTTACAATTAGTCACAGTCCATTCTCAGCTAATGTGTCAGCGCAATAATACAACTGCCTGAGCATGAGGGATACATGTCAGCTGGGTGCGTGGCAGGCAGGGGCCTAGTGTGGGGTTCAGTAGTGGTGTGAAACCAGGGTGTGTGTGTGTGTGTGTGTGTGTGTGTGTGTGTGTGTGTGTGTGTGTGTGTGTGTGTGTGTGTGTGTGTGTGTGTGTGTGTGTGTGTGTGTGTGTGCGTGTGCGAGTGCGTGTGTGTGTGCGTGCGTACGCCGATGGGTGCGTGCGTGCATGCTTGTGTAAATGGTGGTGATGGTGGGGGCGTTTACGTCGGCGGGACGCAGGGGCATGGCTGGGATAGTGATGCAGGAGGAAAAGGTCAGGCAATGTAAAGTATTTGTTGTGCTGATGCAGGGAGAGGACAGCTGCTCGGAGAGATCAGATGCTGCTGCAGCTCCAGCTTGGAAGAGAGTCTGCGGGGCTGAGATGGGGTCAACTTTTTATAGCCGCCTCCCCCTCTGCTTTTTCCTAAAGGGGGAGAAGGAGGTGGAAAGCACTTCTGACCTCCAGCACTCCTACGTAAACAAATCGAGTAGCGTACCCCCAGCATTGAATCGGCTGAATCTGGTCACCTGGTTCAGAACCAGGAAGTACACTCGGAAAATGTACAATTGCTTAGAAGGACTTTTATCATTAACTGGACCAAAACTAACTCATGTTTCCTCCTCTGTAAACCCACCTTTTAATTGCATTCTTCTGACTTTAACACCCTTTTATGTCTTCTTTTATGTCACTTCTAGACATCTACAACGAAGAATCTGCCTTCATTCGTCGTGAGGGCAGTTTTCACCCCAGCCACCTGCGATCTACTCCCCAGGACAACTTTCAGCCACAAACATTTCTGTCCCCTCTATGTTGTGTTGTTTATCCTTGAAGCAGACATTTCTGGAAACTGTATGCATCGCAGCACTTTTTAGGGGTAAATGCAATACGCCATGTACTCTGGCTGATGCTCTGCCATGTTGCTATATGTATCTGCTTTGTAATACTTTCCATTCAGCTGCTGTCTAGAACTTTTGAAATGCTGTTTGGGCCCTGCAACATGTCTATTCAAAAGGAAACAAGGCAGGCCTCTTCTAAAGATCTGTTTTATTTTCGGCCAAGCCACTATTTTGTTATTATGAATTTTATTTTACCATGTCTTTAAAGCGAGACTATGTAACTTTTTAAAGGCGGAACATATCCTTCACTTAAATATGAAAAGTAGGAATCATGAGCAATAAATACAATGTTACTGAACGCACTATAGTCAGGATAGGCTCATACCATCTCTATTGGCCATGTTAGCTAATAACTTGAGCTGTGTTACTGTTACATATCGTTATAGGATGTCACAGATAAAACTTTCTTTGTTTTACCAAAAAAAAGCAAGCCTCTTTGCCCATTTGGTTACTCCAACACAATGAATAACTTGATTACAAAAAGCCATTATTAAGGAGATATCGTTACAACTCGTACTTCCCAGAGATTTGTTCTGCATCCCAGGAAAGGCTTCGTAAATTGAGTTAACATGGACCATGTTGAAAGCCTCCTTTGCAAAAGTGACTGCACAGGTTTTGGGCTTGTATGGCCAAAGGCTCCCTGAATGGTGAAGGCAGGTTTCAGGGGGCTAAAAAGACTGGGGCTTCTGTGAGCTTCGTTGTGGGAGGATTCTGAGTTGGCCACGGAGAACGATTTTGTATTATCCTCATAGAGGTTCTGCCAAACTGTCAGATATCTCTGGAGCGCGAAGCAGGGTTTAGGCCAGGCTGTTTTCAGCGATGGATTACAACTGCTAACCCAGGCTAACAATATTGTTGGACAGTTGAAGTACCACTTTGCAGAACTCCTGAGCCTGACCGAAAGATCACCCATTGAAGAGGCAGAGTTATAAGGAACGGGGAAAGACTTTCCACTTTGCTAACGAAGGTCACTGGTCACTGGCGTTGGCATTTATTCATTGACAGGAATTCTAGACACAGCCAAGATGTGGCCTCAGGATTGGATCTCTGCTTTTTGTTGATGTGGTGGTTCTGCCGGCTTTATCAGAACGTGTTTCCAATGGGGGTCGGCTCTCCGTCAGGGCTGCGTTTGCCATCTATCCCGTTTGTGATACTCATGGTTCTGATGGCATCTTAAGTTTGCAACATTCAGCTCTCATTGGAATAGTTAGCAGTCGAGTATGTAGCCTCTGGGAGGAGGATTAGCACCTCTTAATCCGAGGCAATGAATCTCAGCAGGAAACAGATAGACTATTTACTCTGACTTGAAGTCCTTATAAGTCTTTACCCCTCTCTTCGTTTCTACTCTTACCTATGGTCATTAAGGGTGTGGCAAAAAAACAGATACCCAGTAGAAAATGGTTGGTTAGATTGATGAATGGTTGGATGTCTGTAAAACAATGAACAGAAGACATCTTTAATCAATGTGCCATGTTCCTGTAATTGCTTCTTGTGGCCACAGCGGCCGCTACTTATCAAAAGTTACATAGTCTTGCTTTCATTTGATAATTTGATATTTGCTTACGTAGATACAACCTATAATATTGAACACCATTTTCTAAGGAAAGGGACCATTGGTCTGCAGTGAATTTTAAATGCAGATTAAGAAGTAATTATCACCAAAAGTCAAAATAATATATTTAAATGATGCCCCTCTTAAATGGTAAAAGATATCTGACATACTGTAGCTATGTATAATATCCTACTCTCCAACACTAATTTCCCACATTCACTTGAACATTTCCATGTTTTTTTATAAAAGTCTGTGGCTGCTGTTCTACTTGAAGTATGTGAAACCTCACAACTCACGAAATACTGCTTATACTTGCACAATTTATATGCTGTATGAAGAAGTGAATGTTGATATTTTAAATAATATGTTGGAGAATGTTTTTATAAAAACACATTAAGTGTGTTGCTCGAATATAGCTGAGCTGAGACTGTAACAGTTTACTTAGGACAGTACTTCCTTAGTAGTGTTGGGTCTAAAGCCAGCTGAAACATATAGGGGATAACTTCCTCTATTGGTGTTGGTTCATTTTACACTTTTCTGTGTAACGAGACGGGAGTTTGTGCGTGTGCATCTGAATGTGTCCGTGTTCATGGCTGTAAGTTATGTATGGCATTTCAGTATTCTGTGAGTGTACAACAAGGAGTCATGTTACTTCACTGTAGACGGCAGCGTACAGACTGCACATGTGTTGGGTGTGTCTTTACACTTTAAACACAGCAATGTCCGTTTCTCTGTTTTAACACCCTTGACCTCTATAGTTGAAATGTGTATTTTCATTTAAATGACATATCAACTGATGACAAACATACTCGTGCTTTCTTTAAAGTGAGTCTGGGTTTTTTTTTTTTATCAGTTTTGTTTCCTTTTGAATAAGCAGTGGGACATTCTGCTAGACCCAGTTATACCAGCATCCCTTTGTAGATTGGTAATTTTGTTAGCATGTTTCGAATCCAAACACACATTAAAGGTATTTGGAGCTGCTGGTCAGTCTATGTACCTTAATTCTGTAAAATACATGTTTTTAATGCGTCTGTGACAACAGACTTTATATAAATTTCCCTATGAGTGGATTTTATTATATAAATTCATGCAGTGATTCGAAAGATGTGTTGACTGTGCAGTAGATTGGACATGGTTTGCTTTTTAGAGCAAGTTGATGTTAAAACATATAAAGCATTTTGAGGTGAAATGTAACTTAAACTGCACATTTAAATCATAAAACGTTTTTCTTCTTAATGAAAGTATATTTGATTATATTTTTAAATGAATGTGCGCCTGAGGCAGTTGAGAGCAGTGCAGATAAAACAGTAATTTAATTTGATATTATGAATCTGTTTATCAGAATTTTCTTTAAGAAAAGTCCAGCCAGAAATGTTGCCAAGTTTCCAAGAAAAAAGTAGAATTATGAAGAAATCTAAATTGAGAGATATGATATACTACCTCCTTTAAATGTATGTGTTTGATGAGCAAGCTGTCCAAATGTGGAAGATAAAACACATTTTCTCTTATTTCAGGTGATTTATTGAAAGCACATATCCTTTTTAAACCCTGTGAAGACTATCATAAAAACAATTATATTATAATTTGTAAGTTACAGTAAGCCAGTTAATCGTATGTTGTCATGAACATAAAATCCACATGTATTCTATTAGTTCCTTTTAAGACCTTTGTCTGTGAATAATAATGTACTTAATGCACTTGGATTGTCACTCTTTGGTCATCAACACTGACAGCCATGAATGGCTGTAAACACTGGTGATAGCACGAGTACTATATGGAATTGTTAATTGTAAAAATAAACATTGTTGCACTGTAACATAGATAATATAATTTTGTTTAAAATCATTCTTCCAGATGTCCCTTAAAAGAAAAACCTTCTGATGTTGCAGTTACATATTATGAACCGAGTGTATCAAAGCTTGATTTTGTGAAAAGAAAGAGCGTTAACGGAAGGTGAGATGGTCTGAGATAAGTGTATTTATGAATGTTCAAAGAAAAAGGGCGTATATTTCAATGAGATGCCTGATGTCAACTGTGACTGCCCCAGAAAAGACAGAGGTCAGGATGACAGCGGAGAAATGCCTTGAAAGGAGAAGAGAGTGCTGCGCTTGCACTTACAAGCTGGAAAGTAATGAATATGATGAATGAGTGTAATGTAGACTGACAAGCCTTCATATGTTTGCAATAAATTCTAAATCGAGCCACTGAACATGTTTATGTCCATGAATTTGAATCACTTAAAGGTCTATTTATGTTTGAAAAATGTTGCTGATGTCTGAATCTACTGAGACCAATACAAAAGACCCACACAAACACTTTGTTAGTGAAATTAAAACAGAATGGGTTTTCAAATCACAATTCTTCTTTGTGTTACAGCAGGGAATAGTCAGCATAGGGACACAAATACATATATTGTAGCCTACTGTCTAATCAAGCAATCGTATTAAAGGTGGGGTAGGTAAGTTTGAGAAACCGGCTCGAGATCGCTAGAATTTGAAAATACACAACCGGAGAAAATCTGCCACTTCCTTATAGAGCCCCTCCTCCAACACACACGAACGCGCACATGACCAATGAGGGCACGAGATAAGTTTGTGCACAGATGGAAGGCTGACAGGCAGGTAGGCCATCCAGTTATTTTAGGCGGGCCGGCTAAAATGATTGGTCGTGCTTTTTACAGTATTACGGCTTCCACAGATGACATTTTTTTATGGATTTTTTGTCAAAGCACTTAAGATATTCATTGCTATCGGGATGTTAAGAGCATTCCATGGAATATAACAAAAAGTGTATCTCGAGCCGGTTTCTCAAACGTACCTACCCCACCTTTAAATGTTTAGTTCTAACTAATAGATTAAGTATTCATTTTTCAAAAACGTTATTAATGCCTCAAAAATCAGTTAAAGCCACTATTAGGATAGCCTTTAGGATGCCAGGTTGTAAAAAAAGAACTTGGGCCGGTCAAACAGCCTACTTTACAAACTAAGGAGTTTTTATTTATAACAATCATCATACATTAATTGAATAAGTACCATATACTTTGACTTTGTGATAGATTGTTTGCAAACATAAGTACACATTTGATTCTGGGATATTCTGTTATGACCATATTTACATTTTATTTTCCTTTATCTCCCTGACCTGATTGTTGTGGCTCCCTGCAGTTTCATACTTTGCTGATAAAGTTTCACCACTAAAAACACAAAAACGACAAGGGTCAAAAGGGGAATCAAACAGCTCCTAGCAAAGAGAAAAACACTTTTGGCATTGACCAGCGTGGGAGGTTAGCTTTCTGGTGACACTGAAACATCACCCGGCCCGAGGCTTAAGTTTAACCTGACAGCTTGCTGCTGTGTTTACTCGGTTGCCATGGATGCAGCGAGACTGGCAGACACTGGTTTGCCCCCAGCTGCTCTCGGTGGTTCCTAAAGAATCTACATTGAGGCCCAGTTGTTGTATTTGGATGCCAGGAGGGGCTCTGATGTCACAGCTTTGACACAAGAAAAGTTAAGATTGATTGCCTCACCTGGATCCAAAAGTGTGTGTTACATTTAATGTACTTAGTTACATTCTGTCTCTTTGGACACAAATGTCAACACAAATGAGGGCTATTAGTTTACTTAAGAGAGTACAGCTGACAAAAATGCATGCTACTGTGTTAAACCTTACCAAAATACATAAAACTCCTGTAATTTATAGAGTTTCACATTTTGCAATGACCAGATTGCCAGATGCCACCAGGAGGCGAGAACTTCTACACTGGGATTATGTTTCCTGCTATGATAGTTTCTCTTTGAGGCTGCAGGCTACTTAGGCACAGCAGTCCTTTTAGTTCAACGTCAGCTAACTCAATGACAGTGCTGCTGTTTAGCAGATATAATTTTTTATATATTATTTTAGCGTCTCATAGAACATTTTGCAGATTAGCTCAAAGTATGTGAAACTGCTCTGGAGCCTCAAACTTTAAAAGTGCTTGAAAGCCCACCATTCACTATCTGGCAGGTAGGCTACTCTGTTATGATTTACTCTGAGCTGCCTAAAGGACCAGTGCATGTAGGATAGTCGAGCCTTATCAATGCAACGGAGAGAGAAATAGTTATTACAAAGAAATACGTATTTATTAAGCAAAACATAATCATCTCATCACACAATACTTCAGCGGAATATTGAAACACCGGCCCGGGGTGCAAATCGCATGAATGTCAGGCACCTCAACCACACAAAACATCACCATGTTTATGAACACCTCACAAGGCCATGGACAAGGCGCCCACAGCTAAGTAACAATGAACAATGGACAATGAACATCGATCCTTGCATTTTGGAACGCAACACAAACAGGCAATTTTGTTAAAACCGGCACAGCGGCTCATTTAAAATATATTACGATTAATTTGGGGAAACGGTTTTAGGCAGAATGAATAAAGTCGGCACGGCGGCCTACATTGAAAAAAACGTTGGCCTACACTTGTTGATCCTGTCATCCAGTTATATATTGTATAATTGCTGATATTAAAAGGCCTCTCAAAAAATCCACGATTTTCTTACATTTCATACAGTTCGCGAGAGGGGAGATATGATGGTCAATTTAACTGTCATTTGACATTACTCTCATTGAATTAATATTGCTGGGCCCTCAGTGCATTTAGAGCTGGACCACCAATCACCTCCTATCTTCCCAGTAGCAGAGACGGACAAATTGGGCTTCTTTCATTTAACCCTTCACATTCCAACAGAAACTGAATAGGCAGGTTTGAAGGGTTTATTTATTCAGTTCTATTTTTTCTTAATACAAATAAATCAAGTAATTAAGGTATAACTAATGACAAATATTAATTATTATTTTTTGGACCTCTGACGGTTCCCCACTGCCTGAAGGCCACGGAAGTGGTACCGACAAGGTTGTAAAGGGAAATTACATTATAATAGGCCTTTGGGTAGCTAATTTGTTTTCACCTAATGTTGAGATCCTCTGTTGTAGTATTTCGCTTTTTTACATGTTGCTTATACCTAAATAAATGCTTGTTTATTAAAATGTCCACAAACTAATTAGCCCACAGTGAATCAAGGGCAGGATAGGATAGTATCCCAGAATAGGAGAACCCACCAGTCTCTGGGGCTCTGGGGTAAATATTTTGAATTATCCATGTGAAGTTGCCATGAGCACCGTAAACTGATGAGTCCTCTTGCAATTTTATATGGGGGATCAACATGGTTCAATACTAAAGCAGCAGAGACCGACTTGATAGTGTCTTTCAAACTGAGTTGATCTCATTTTGTAACAGACTTAATGGTGGCTGTGTTTCTCAGACTGTCTATGACTAGATCAATAACAAATACACCGACTATGACATGTACAATTGATTGAATGCCACTTTAAAAGGCAAAATGAACAATTTCAAGCACTTCATTTTTCCCCAGGGCCTCAGAGGGTTAATCCCATTGTTCACACATGTTCTTGTTGCATCTAAATCCACAAACCAAGTCAAAAGGCAAAGTGTTTCCACTGCACGTTTATTGTCAGACAATGATAAATCTAACAAACTGATCCCTAAATATGAAAATACAAGTTTAGAGCAGCTCAAAAAACTACCTAGATGTTTTCAGATACACAGAGCAATTACAGCCACGTAAAAAAAATATATTCAAGTGTTGATGGATTATCTTTTAGAGATTTGATTTTCACCTCAAATCTTGCAAGTACAAAGTAAAAACGATGCACACACATTGTCTCTGTAGGTGCAATTAAAAAAAATCACTAACCTGATTATACAAATGTAATTAATCGATATTAATCTGCTTAATAAGTTATTTCAAGTGTGTGAACAGTGATACAGTGATAAAACAATACGTTTCTCCTCCTCGGTAAACACTTTTTTAATTAAAAAACAAAGGAATGTTGACAGAAAGAGTTAATCCACTGTGTCCAGTGTGATATTTACATCTTTACTGTAACTATGTTGGGGTTATTTTTCATGTTGTGCATTACCCATCAAATAAAACATACATCCTATTTATGAAAAAAGACAATGCAAGAATTCCTGGTTTTTAAACGAAATTTAAAATGTAAATGACTTAAATATTCATAGGAATGTAAACTTTGCATGTGTTGTTAAAAAAAACATTCACCACTTTTTTCTCTTGCGTACTTTCACTGCATGAGGCTGAGGTGTGATAGCTGTCCCTGTATGCGAAAAAACACTTGTTGAGTGACACTGTTGGATTGTTCATGGTATGTCTTTTACCAGCTGGAGTCAAAAACCTTCTTGCACATGTTTGAGTTTTCCTGGTGAAGAGGGAATTCAGAGCCCGGTACGAGTTGCTTCTTCCTCTTATGTGATACAACGCTCTTCCCTGATGAGATGCTTTCATACTTGCTGACAGATTCACTGAAAGCAAAACAATAAGAACAGATGATTAGGTTTTTGTAAAAGATGATTCAACATTAAAACCACAGAGCCATTGAAATATGTATGTGTACAATACCTGAAGGGGAAGGTGGTTTTGTCCATCTGCATGCACACCAGGAAGGGATATTCTGAAAACTGGACTGTGGTGATAAAGTCTAGCGATGCCTCTGTGTCGTAGCTGACCTCAACACCCAGTCTCATGAAGTCCATGTCCACTGTAACGTTGCCAGTGACCACTAATGCTCCCCTGAAACCATAAAGAGAAAACCAAGTGAAAATGTGTCCAAAATACTTATATTCTTCAGCCTTGTCCCAACGACTGTGGCGCTTTGTCATTGTACAGTATGTGAACATGTATTTGTTTCACACAGTATGTATCAGTGGCTTAAAAGCACAATAAAGTTCAGATACTAACAAGAAGAGTTTAACAACTTCCCGTTTGTTTAAAATCGCAGTGTGTGCCAGCCAGTTGAACGTCAAACCTCTATAGCCTTGCCCGTGAAGACATGCCTTGGCAAAGATGCCAGTATGGTTTGTTCTGCTGCTAAAGATAGCCTGACAGTCTATTATCAGAGTGGAAGAGGTACAACTATGCTGATCCATTCACCTGCCTCTGCCATTCCCCTACGCACACACGGGTCAAAATCAAAGATATGACCCTTTACTATGGTTAAAAAGCAGGAAAATAAAACTGAAATATAAAAGCTTCTTTTTCTTTCTTGTTTGAATTTCACAGGGTTGTTTTTTTTGCACCATCAAAGAGATTCCAATTAAATGTGCCTTGTTTT